ACAAAATTTTAAAAAAATTAAAAGGTCACTACACACGACTAAAGTTTAAAAACACGCTAAAATTAGGGGGATTAAAATATGAATAAACCAAAAATATTAAGCATGCACAGAAGAAACATAAAATGGCAGTTTTAGTCCCTAAAGGGACCAAACTACAAAAAATACGCGAAACTATTAGGGGCATAAGCGTGGTTTTACCATAAATCACTAGTAGTTACCCCCTGCGCATACTTGCGGGAGATGTACCATTAATTCCCTAATAAGTGAACAGGGCCTTAGAATTAAAAAAATAAAATGCGATCAAACAAAATTTTATTCATCCTAATTAAACTAAAAGTAAATAAGGTTTTTTCTAGCTTAAGGTGTCGAATTATGAAAAATAAAGGACCTAAAGGCATAAACCTAGAAGTGTAGGTTCTAATATTAACCTTACCTCATTTGAAACCAATTATAGAATCGAATAACTGAGACGGTCCCTCAAGCATTTACGCGAGGTCTGATTCGAATTATCCCCTATATTAAAAGAATAGTTTGAAATCTAATCTAAAATGGAGGCTCTATTTAACCTATTTAATTATGTCGATATTAAGGCTCTAATAGAAAATTGGGGACTAAAAGGTCAAGATCTACCATATTGGGGTCTAAAAGATTTAAAAGCTTAAGAACCTAACCTAATAATGTCTAAAGTTGAGGACTAATTTAAAACCTAATTTTATCTAAATTATTAAACCTAAAGTATTTTTAGAAAATATTAATCAATAAATTTTAAAAGTCGAGCAACCGATTCGAGTAATCGAGCATATTATGCGAAAACTTGACTCGAATTGTTCCCTAATTAAACTAGAGTGTCATCCTAATTTCTAAGCTTGATTCGAGTGTTGATCTAATTTAAAACTAAATTTAAGAATTTAAAACTATGAAACATTAGTCATTTAATAAACTTAATTAAAAAAATAAAACAAATAATAAAAAAACAGTAAAATAAAAACAACATAAATAAACATAAAATATGATAACTTAATTGCATAAAATAAAATAAAAATGACTAAAATGAAAGAAAATAAAAGTTAGTAGTTAAATAAGAAATAAATAGTGACCAAAATGCAAAAATTGAAATAATAGTAGTTAAATCAGAAATTAATAGTGACTAAATTAATATAAAACAAAACATAATGATAAAATCACAATAAATTAGAAATAAAAGGTCTCGTGACCAAAATGCAAAAACATGGCAAAGTTTAGGAGACTGAAAACGATAATAACCCAAAAATAACAACATATGCACAAAAAAGGGAAAATTACAAAACCAGTCCACAAAATTTTAAAAAATTAAAAGGTCACTACACATGACTAAAGTGTAAAAACACGATAAAATTAAGGGGACTAAAACATGAATAAACCAAAAATATTAAGCATGCATAGAAGAAAGGTAAAATGGCAATTTTGGTCTCTAAAGGGACCAAACTGCAAAAACGCGTGAAACTATTAGGGGCCTAAGCGTGGTTTTACCATAAATGACCCCTATAAATACCAACCTTCCTTTATTTCATTTCATTTGAGCCTAGAGAGAAAAAGAATAAAACGTTAAAACCTCTCCCCTCTCCCCTCGGCCGGCCTACATCCAGCCGCCTCGCCCCGCCTCCAACCACGAGTGGCGGCCGAAAATCCCAAATCGTCCCAAAAACACCAAAAAAAATAGATCACCCCTTAGAACCTCTTTTAGCACTAAAACCACCGAAAAACGTTCTAAAACCCCCTAAATTGCCAATAAACCGTTCGACTTCCCCAACTCCGACGACCCAACGGTAGCTCCTTTTTGACTTAAAGGTATTTGATCTAACCCTCTCTTTTATTTTCGTATTTTCTGCATAAAAATGGGTTAGTTGCTATGTTATTGTTTCGGCTAAAAAAGGACCCTTTTTTCATTTATTCTATTCGAAATATATATATATGTTTTCAAAATAAAACTAAAAAAGGGTGTTGGAGTATAAATCGGGAACTAAAAAAAGGGGCAAAATTTTTTATTGCTTATTTCGAGCACTTAAAAGATGACTTTTTTTATTTTCTGGTGATATTAAAACCTAAAAGAGCAAGAACACACAAGAAAAAACAACTATTTCAGAATTAAAGAGAACGAAAAAAAACCTTGAAGGTGTTTTTTCACTACATCAAAACAGGTATATAGCGGCATTTGTCGCGGCGTTTTCAAAGCAAACGCCACTAAATTTGTACATATCGCGGCGTTTATATCCAAAATGCCACTAAATGGTAACATTAACGGCGTTTTTCAACAAACGCTGTTAAAACTCGAACTTTAGTGGCATTTATTTGACAAACGCTGCTAAAGATAAGTACTTTAGTGGTGTTTGTAAACAAACGCCGTCATAGAATCATTCTTTAGTGGCGTTTTTAAACAAACGCCGCAATAGGGTACATTTATAGCGGCGTTTTTAGAAGAAAAAATGCCGCTAAAACCTAGTACTTTAGTGGCATTTTAAGCAAAAACGCTGCTAAATACTCGTACTTTATTAGCGTTTTTAGACAAACGCCGCTAAAACCTAGTACTTTAGTGGTTTTTTTTTACAAACGTCGCTAAATACTCGTACTTTAGTGGCGTTTTTAGATAAACGCCGCTAAAACCTAGTACTTTAGTGGTGTTTTTTTTATAAACACTGCTAAAAACTTGTACTTTAGTGGCGTTCTAAGCAAAAACTCTGCTAAATACTCGTACATTTTTTATTTACAAATGCCGCAAGTTTACATTTTTCTAAGTCCAGCTCTTTAACCCTTTCTAATTTTCCCCATTCACCTATTTTTTCATTCCCCCGTTTACCCAAACCCATATGTTACTTCTTCCCCGATCTCACTTTCTCTTCGCTGAATTTGCTACTTCTTCGTCGATCTCACTTTAAGCAACGCGAAACAAATGGCACTTTTAGTTAATTATAATTAATAATGCTAGTTGCAGAGGAGTGCAATAAAAAATGGAGGAGCAGATCGTAGACGAATATTTCTGTGGATTTTCGATTCTTTATCTGGTTTCGGTTCGTTATTTTTGGAACTCTAATATCTCTTTATATTTCTTTTTTTCATTATTTTTTCAATTTTGCTTCAGACAAGAATCTTATTCAGATTCCATTTCTGGGCTTTTTTTCTTCTCCTTGAACTGAACAGAAAAAAAATATTTTTTATGCATCTTCGATTTAACTTCCTGAAATATCTTCCTAGTAGAAGGATGGGTGTATTGAGCTCTATATTGGGTGTTTTTGGCTTCAGAATTGGAACTTCTGTTGGGATCGTCATTGGGTATTACATGTTCAACTACTTCCTTCCCACTGATGTTAAGGTTTGTTTCTCTCTCTATTGAATTTTCCTTATGTTTTGCTTCTTCTTTTTTCTTTTGATTACTTTCGCAAGCAGATTTATTATTTTAAAGAATGAATATGTATATAAAAATGATAACTTTACTCTAAGCTGATCAAATATTTCATTTTTACCCGTATTTTTATGGTTAACTCAATTTGTCTTCTAAATACTGTTCGTGTTTTAGTGTGCTAAGATTTGTATTTTGTAGTGTTCTTCTTTGAAAGATGTATATCCATGGTTTTCAAGTGATCAAAATGATAGCTTATGTTTTTCTAAGAAAGTTTTAAGTTTTAGGATTGAGGAACTTTTCTAACATTCACCAGAGTTATTTATGTTCTTGTTGCTCATGTCCCACCCCTGTTTTTCTGGGATTTTGATTATTGTAGTAGAGGCATTTACCAAATAATTTGGGTTGTTTTGATGTCTGTAAATGGCTGAACAACATAAATTGTCTCCATTGTCTTATTTCATCCTTTGAACCATTGATAAGTTGGTCATGTTGTTTCTTTTCCTTATTAACATTCCCTGTGTTCAGGATCCTAAAATCCATCCTTTGGTTGAGGAAGACTTGAAAACTTTGCAGCGGATGCTTCCAGAGATCCCCTTGTGGGTCAAAAATTCAGATTTTGGATGTGTATGTTCTTCTATGCTATGTCATTTCTGTATGTCTGGTCCTAAGTTATGCACCAATGTAATAATTGCATGTTTCTCTCAAGGTTGATTGGCTTTAACAAATTTATCGAGAACATGTGGACTTATTTAGACAATGTATGTGTAACTACAGTGATCTTTGACCTATTATGGCCTCTTATATATTTGTTTGGCCATGTTTCATTGAACACCTTAATACTCATTTTTCAAGGAAATTTGTGCAACTTCCAAGAATATAGCAAAGCCTATCATTGTCGAGCAGATTCCAAAATACAAAATTCAGTCAGTTGAATTTGAAACGCTTATTTTAGGAACCCTACCACCGACATTCCAAAGTTGACTTCTCTTTCTCAAATACATTCTACACACATAATCACAGCTGCTCATGACATGAAATGTGTTCACATTTTATCATTGATTGATCTAAATTCTTATTTGCATTTCAATAATAATCCGAGTACCACCGCATTCATGATACAAGGCATTACGATTCTAAAAAAAATCTATTTTTATTACTGTGAAACTTGATTGTACTGAAAATAGTGCATGCTAGGTGTCTTGGTTATTCTTTAGACTAGCAAACGAGTTAGAAAAAATGGCCTTGAGGCATATAATTATGTTGTGAAATTATTCAAGAAAAGTATTGGAAAGTAGCCCATTTTAGAACATTTAATTTAACATACTCGCAAGCATGTGGTGGTTATGAGTTTTTAGCTTATTTGCACGCATTGTGTTTTATTCGTTTGTTTCAACCACCACCACCCCATGCGTATTTCCAGCAAAAATTCGATAGAGTTATACTCATTGTTGATTTTATCATATGCCAGGAATGAAAGTCTATGTCACTAATGAGAAGGAAATTAGACTGGAACCATCATTAAAGTGGGCGGGGAATCCTAACATAGTTAATTATCACTAATTTGTTCTATATATTGATGTATATTAGTTCCTGATTAGGCTTTTTATGCATCATTTAGAAAATCATGTATTTCATCACTCTTGTTCTAGAAAACCTTGCACTGTCATCAGATGACAATGAGGACCTGATATATTGTTTGAAGGTAATGTACTGTCCTACAGAGCTATGGTTGTGTTATTATTTCTTAATGGCATCAACAGATTCTAAAGTTATAAATTTTGGGGGGTCATATTTCATTATTGATAATATCTACTTATCTGCTCCTAAGATTATGTCAAAAATGTATTTCAAATTGTGGTAAAAGATAATAAGGAACTTGATACTGATATCATAAGTTAGATTTCGAGGTGAACCTTTGGTAAATATCTATGTTACAAGATAAAAAACTCTTTATCTTGTCCCCACCTTTTTGATTCTGGGATCAGAGAACTTTTGATATTTTTGTATTGTAATTGCATTTTCACTTCTATCTTGTCCCCATATTTTTATAAATCATGGGAGACATTGATGAAAGGATAATCATGAGGGTTTATAATGTTATTCATTTTCCTTATCAACTAGTGGAGTCTTGATTACGGTAGCATGAACATGATGGTGCTGGGTGTTGATTACTCTAAATTACTAAATTAAAATCAATGTTTATCTTCTTGTTCCTGAATTGGATGTCTAGAAAAATACAAACTATTTTTTCCCAGTTTACATCTTGACATTTCTAAATTAACTTTTATCCTATTTGAGTTAAAGAGAGGAAGCCCACTTGGTTTTAAGCTTTTAAGCTTAAAACCAAGTGAATTGTACATGTGATGCTTTTAAGCTTGTTTTAATAGCCAAATTACATAGGGATTAATTATATATTTCTTTATGGTCTAACTCTAATCATATGATATTCATTATCTTCAGGAACCAGTATGATTATTACAGAAACGGGGATTATAAGAGAAGAAGTTGTAGTAGGAGTTATGACCGGTTTGAACGTGATCGATATCATGAGAGAAACAGAGACTATCGGCGTAGAAGCATGAGCCGCAGTGCAAGTCATGGCTATTCTAAAGGTCGAGCAATAGGGTGAGATGATAATGATCGGCAGTGGCAGTAGAAGAATAAGGTTTATATTTGTACTTCACTCACATTTTAGAAAGTAATTTCCTCTATTTTCAATTTTTTTTCCTTTAGCTTTGTAACGATATCTTCTTTGTTTCAGTGCTTCTCCTGCTCTCCGCAACCCTAGTCCTCGAAAAAGTCTTTCCCCACACAAGGCATCTCCCAGGGGTGAAAGTCTAGAAAGCAGTTTTGATGGGCGGTCAACAAGTTCTCGAAGTGATTCACCACGAGGTCGTCCTGCTGATTCTCGTATCCCTTCTCCTCGGAACTCTGATGTTGATGTGAGCTTCACTTTCTAATGTATTATTTTTCCCTTCCCCTCTTTGTTCAATCTTTTTTTAGTAAAATTACCTTTACAAGAAGTTGTTCTAATTGTTTAACATTTACTTCTTCGATTTGAATTTTGTAGGAATGATCTTGCGGACATTCATATATCATGTGTTTCCTAGTATTGGTAGGACTTTTTTTTATGTGTTTTAATCAAATGTCCTAAACCTTCTCTTACTTAAGCAATATTTTGGTGTCTAAACTTATGTAACGTCTAGCTTGATGTTTCAGTTCCCACCGAAGATTTATTTATTTAACTTGGATGTTTGTAAACTTTGATTTATTTATGTTTTTATGTATTATTACTTAATTAGAATCATAATGAAATTTAAGATGGTTATTGGATATTGTTACAAGTTAAATTTGGGTAATACAAAATAGAAGAAGATATGTTGAAAATCAGTTTTGATTAGCGGCGTTTTAGGGGGGAAACGACACTAACGGAGTGCATATTTGGCGACGTTTGTATAAAAAAATGTCGCTATAGATCTAACCTTTTGCGGCGTTTGTATCCAAAAATGTCGCTATAGATATGACCTTTTACGGCGTTTGTTCCAAAAATGCCGCTATAGATATGACCTTTTGTGGCGTTTGTTCCAAAAACGCCGCTATAGATATGACATTTTGTAGCGTTAGTATCCAAAAACGCTGTTATAGATCTGACCTTTTCCGGCGTTTGTTCTGAAAACGCGCTATAGATATCGACCTTTTGCTGCGTTTGTTCTTAAAACGCCGCTATAGATCTCAACTTTTTGCAGCATTTGTTCCAAAAACGCCGCTATAGATATCGACCTTTTGTGGTGTTTGTTCCAAAAACGTCGCGATAGATCTTGACCTATTGCGGCGTTTTTTGTTCTCAAATGCCGCTAACTTTAGCGACGCTGGTATGGCCGACGCTTCTTATGACGTTTTTCCTATCGACACTTCTTGCGACGTTTTTCTTATCGCCGCAAGTGCTTTTAGCGGCGCTTAAAAATATCGCTATAAGACTAAAAAATGCCGCTAAAACTCTATTTTGCTATAGTGTTTATTGCTAAGAAAACAGAGTGTTGCAGTGTTGTCGAAACCAAAAAAAAAAACTGATCCTTTACAGAATTGCATGGATTTTTTATATACTCATTTTACAACAAATATTCATCATTTCAGTTTTGTTTCTTCTTCTTTGTTTCCTACAGGTTACGTGTTGCTTGGGTGTTCTGGCAGCTTGACTGGGAGTAGGGCAAAGAGGGGTGAACGTGGATTGGGATGAAAATGGTGGCCATTGGTTGGGGCTTGGGACGGCTGGTCAGACGGGTCGGGTCCTGGTCGGGTCTGGGTCTGCTTGGGTCGGTGGGTTTGGGTTGTTGGGTTGTTTGGTTTGGGCCTGCGGATTTTGGGTCTAATGAAAAATGGTGATTAGAGATTGTAAATAGATTTAAGAAAAAAAAAATTTATTTAGTGGTGAATTGCATAAATAATTAAATAATATTAATGAATTATATCATTCATGCGGGGCACATCTAGAAGGTGTTGATTCCTAATTCGATGGTTTAATTAATTTGATAAAAGTAAAATTTATTTGATTATGAACAAATAAAAAATTGAAAATAAAAATCTTCACCTAATAGTTTGTGACTATATATAGAGATTACTAAAAAATATAAAACCTGACATATTTTGATTTTATATGGTTGACTATTTTTAAAAAAAAATTGAATTCGAGATAAATTTTTGTTTGGAGAAGGCATTGGGACTATGACAGATTAGGTTTAGAGAAAACTAACAAACCATAAAAGCTAGAAGAATCAAAGAAATAAAGACCTTGTGAAGCTTTACCAATCCTCGTCGTCCTTACACTTGAGAGAGTATGTATAATGCAAAAATCAAGATAAAAAAGAACTCGGCAATTTAAGTCCTTAGAGAGTTTCGAGACAGAAAGCAAATAATGAGAAAAACTGAGGACAAACAAAACATTAGAAATGGTAATGGTAGGGGTAGAACTGTATGTGCCAGTATGTGTAATAGGGACAACATTACCATTCTGTAGGTGAACTACTCTTGAATTAGAGGCACATGGAACAGAAGAGTACAAACTTTGTCAATAAAAAATCATGTGGTCAGCAGCCCTAGTGTTTAATATCAAAATCAAAGATCGACCCGAAGCAGATAAATATTCAAAAACCATACTTGCCAAGTTTGACGTTGGAACAGAATAAGTAGTCCTATTCTAGAGATCAACCATCTGATTGTACTGCTCCTGCGAGAACAATGGTGCATCTGTGCCACTAGACTCGGCAGAACCAATATCAACAGAAAATTTAGAGGAAATAGCTATTACAGCTTGAGAATCCTTATATCTGGCGAACTTGAAATCTGGGGGAAAGCCAATTTAGCGGTAGCAATTCTCCTTTTTGTATCCCTTGGTTTTGCAATGGTCACAAACACCATTGAACCTGCGATGACCACTATTACTCGAAGAGCTAAAGAATAAGGCAGTAATTTCAGAGGAAGGAGAGACCCCCGTCAAATAAACCCGCTGAGTTTCTTCTTGAACAACCATAGAATATGCCTGGTTAACCGATGGAAGTGAATGCATCATGAGAATCTGACTCTGAATCGAAGCATAGGTCTCGTTAAGATCCATGAGAAATTGAAACAACTACTGTCAAGCTTGGTGCTAAAGAGTCCTCTGATTATCATCACACTTAAAGGCAGTAACAGGAATTAAGGCATTGAACTCGTCCCAAGTTTAAGATGAGTATAATAAGAAGAGACAAAAACATCATCTTGACTCATCAAAGGAATCTCTGGATGTAGAAAATAAATTTGAACACCATTCACCTTATCGAATATCTCCTTCAAATCTTGCCAAACAGACGCAGCATTTGATGTAAAGACAATCCCCGCTGACAAATTCTTGCTGACCGTATTCAAAATCCATGAGAGAACTATGCATATCATTCCCATTGATCAAGAAGAAACACCAGAAAATCAGCCTTCTTGCAGTCAGCATTAACGAAACCGAGTTTGTTCTTCGCAAGTAATGCAATACACATCGGTATGCTCCAAACTTTATAACTTTCAATCCCTTCAAGCTGATATGAAACGAAAAGAGTACCTGGAGTATCTGAAGGATGCAAATACAATGGGTGATTAAAATCCACAGCCTTCATAGCAACACAAATCAAAAACACAAAGAAGAATCGAGAAAGAGGAACGAATAAGAATCAATCGCGAAGAAGAATAATAATATCAGAAAAACAAAGAAAGAGGAACTAGGTCACAGAAACAAAAAATGCTCGAAATAATCAAAATAAAAGACCTTATGTATTTTTACCTCTCCGCCCAAACAATAAAACCAAGACGAGAGAAAAAAATGGCTCACGATACCATGTCAAAATTAGAGAGTAGAAATGAATAATGCCTCATATTTTCATTAACTTGTATGAATACAATTGTACATATTTATACATAATGTCAACTAGACTACAACTAACTGAGCTAACTTCTTAACAAGAAACTGATAAGCAACTAACTAACTAGTGCCTAACAAAGTACAAGTCTTCCCACAAACAGGTAAGATAGGGCATTCGTTATACACGACATTGCTAGACCATTTAGACTGGTTTTATTTGTGATATTCAATGATGATTCATAATCTTCACAAATGAAATGGTGGATTAGACAAATGAAGCTTAGGTTAGTTGTTTGGAAATTGACCTCTAAGGATGAAATCTTCTGACCAGTAACACATGCTATTACAAGTTATTCTCGAGAAACTTAAGAAATCTTGAAGTTGAATACTCAAAGCGTAATGGGCATTTTCATAAAGTAAATGTAATTAATTACTGAGGGCACTCCGCTAAAAGAAGTGAGCTATTAATCTTTGAAGGTAAGTCCAAACTAGCTATGGAGGAAAGTCTAAGCTTTATAAAGTGAGTTTCATTCAAGTTATCAAGTCTGACTTTTTGACACCCGAATCCTCTAATTAGAGATATTTCACTAAAATAATGAGTCAAAGATATAATTTTGAGAGCCCTAACTTTATGAATAGGAAAAAACATTCAAATAGTGACATAAACGGGTCATTTGATAATTGTTATAACCAACCTATTTTATTTCTCCTTTTTTGGTTATTTGTTTTGAATGGTGATCGTTTTCTTTTTCTCCTATTTTTGGGTTTGTTTTTCTACCTCCTTGGTTTGAATGGTGTTGTGGTTGATGAAAAAGATAACCTTTTTGTTTTTCCTTTTTAGGTCGAATGGTTTCTCTCTTCTCTTGTTTTTTTTTAATCTCTCATTTTTCTTTTCTGTTGATGTTGTTGATATATATGGAGGGGAATAACCCCCTCCTTTTTGTTTTTATTCGCGCAAGGGAGCCTCTTGTCCCTTTTTCTATAAAGTGGGAGAAACCCTTCTGTCAGATCAGGGTCCTAACAACAACGTATTTACAGAGGGCTATAGAGGGGGACCATTTCCTACAAGGAGCTACTGTCGACATGGAAAAGGACCAACAAGTGGTGAGATTCACACAGGTGGTCTGAACAGGGACCACAATAGTTTCTGAAGATACATGTAACATAGAGAGATCGTTGAGGTATAAATATCGTCAGAGTGAAATTGGACTGTTGGATGGTGCCGACGGCTGAAGTTTCATATGAACTAGGGTTTCTCCCAAACCCTAAAATCTAAAAGGATCTTAGCCTTCAGATTCATTCCAGATCAATAGTTGAGATGTTGATTTCGCGTATCCACCTCTAGAATTTTAAAAAAACCTTAAATTTGTTTTTGATTTGGATCGTTGTATGGATTCAGATCTGATGGTGTATGTTTGACGGTGATGGAATTAAGATGTAAACCCTAATTACTGAATGGGTTACCATGCATGAGCTACTATTGGGCCAATATTGATTCAATTTTTGAATCGTGATGGGATCTGATTATTTAGGCTTCAAATGTGTATACTTGTAATAAGGATCTATGAAAAAAAAAGA